CCATGAGGAGGGTAGCAGCGGGACAAGCTTCCCCATGGCTATGCTGAAGAGCAGGATGTTGGAGGCCAACATGGCTTGTGCAGTCGAAGTGATGATGAGGTTGACCAGGTTTCAATGCCCTGGCTGCCAGCCCCAGGCACGAGGAGGAGGAGGAGGAGGAGGAGGAAAAGAAGAGGGAAGGGGGACCGGCAGCTCTGAAATAGCAGCAGCTGGTGTGTGTGTGTGTGGGAGGTGCTGAGCACCCAGCCCTGATAGCAGCCCAAAATAACCCAGATTCGGTTACACGCACTCCTTAGCGACGGCGCAGGCATCACCCACTGGCGGGGGGATCAGGATGCATCAGGGACCCCCAGGACCCTGCCTGAGGGCTTGCAGCTTTTCTAGGAAAGCCAGATATTCCATACAGGAGCATGTTCCTATGTGGCCACCCTGCTCCCAGGGGTGCCCCAAGAATGCTGGGCTGAGCCGAAGGAGCCATGCAGAAAGCATCAAGCATCCTTGCTGATCAACCTTGGACTTGGGAAGAGCTGTAGGGTCAGACTGGGAATCGGCTCCCAGGAGCTGCCCCGAATACAACACGGCTCACCTGGTCACCTCGTCCAGGCGGCAAGGAACGTCGTACCAGCACAGTTGCTGCCATGTCCATGTAGCCAGCGCTCCCCCAGTGCCACCTTCCCGTGCCCCGCTAGACAGAGCCTGAGTGCACATGGGACCTGGGGTACCTCACAGTTCCTTCACTGAGGTCTTATTTCCCCCGTGTTTTTCCCTTTCCTCAGTGACTCAATTCCAGCTAATCCTCCTCGCTAGTCCGGGGCTTTATCTAGGACACGGTGCTGCTCGGAGACAGAGGAGAGCTGGCTCATGTGGCGGTGGACGGGCAGTCCCTGAGGCTGTGCTGCAGGGTGGGGGGGACAGGGGACGAGGCTTGCAGGGCAGGAACTGCATGGTCCTGATGCTGGGGTCCCCACATGCAAGTGCTCATCTGTACTGGAATGGGAGAGCCAGAGCTGCCAGGCTTACATAAGTGCTAGGATCCTCCTCTGTCTGCCCCCCGGCTCCTCTCCCTGTCTCTGTGGGGGGAGACTTGTCGTGAACATCCTGCACCCTGCCTGCCGACGCTGTGCGGAGGGGCTACTTTGTCCATGAGTCTCCTCCTTGCAAAGGGCAGGATGCCAGAGCGTAGGGATTTGGCCAAGGTCCCTGCAGGGGCAGGGCTGGGGCCAGATTGCTGGAGCACCTGGTACCTTATTGCCCCTGCTCTCTGCACCCCCAATCCAGCCCTTGGCTCTGCCTGTCTTCCCTGGGGGCTCCCCGGGCCCTGGTGCTGCCGGTGCCTGGGGGAGACAGGACAGGACCCTGGCTGGAGCGTGTCCCTGCTCCACAGGGTGCGCGCTCCCCTGCTTCCCTCGCCTGTTGCTCTCCTGGACATTGCACTTGGACACCCCTTCCCCAGGGCCAGCGGGGACGGGTGTCCACCCAGCACCCCATCCTGCAGCATGGAGGACCCTAGGGGAGGAGCTGGGGCTGTGGGACACCCCATCCTGCCTGGCATGGGCAGGGGCAGCCCCATCCCGAGCCCCCTGCCCCATGCCCCAGCTGGGGCCAGGGATGTGGAGGGGCTTGTCAGGGGCTTGCAGGGCTCCTACCTTGGTCTTGTTGAGGACCAACCCAACGAAGGTGGAGACCAGCAAGGAGCCCGGCATGGAGGCGCGGGGGCGCAGGTCCTTGTGAAGGTCGGGGAGCGCCGGGGGCTCCTCGGGCAGCGTCACCGTGTAGGAGTCCCTCATGATGCCCGTGGCAGGCAATCAGGCGAGGAGCCGGCAAGGGCCGGTGCAGCCGCGGTGG